AGGGACACAGAATTGTTTACTCAGGGACAGACACAGAATTGTTATTCAGGGACACAGAATTGTTACTCAGGGACACAGAATCGTTACTCAGGGACGACACAGAATCGTTACTCAGGGACACAGAATTGTTACTCAGGGACACAGAATTGTTACTCAGGGACACAGAATCATTACTCAGGGACACAGAATCGTTACTCAGGGACACAGAATTGTTACTCAGGGACAGACACAGAATTGTTACTCAGGGACACAGAATTGTTACTCAGGGACACAGAATCGTTACTGAGGGACACAGAATCGTTACTCAGGGACACAGAATTGTTACTCAGGGACACAGAATCGTTACTCAGGGACACAGAATCGTTACTCAGGGACACAGAATTGTTACTCAGGGACACAGAGAATTGTTACTCAGGGACACAGAATTGTTACTCAGGGACAGACACAGAATTGTTATTCAGGGACACAGAATTGTTACTCAGGGACACATAATTGTTACTCAGGGACAGACACAGAATTGTTACTCAGGGACACAGAATTGTTACTCAGGGACAGACACAGAATTGTTACTCAGGGACACAGAATTGTTACTCAGGGACACAGAATCGTTACTGAGGGACACAGAATCGTTACTCAGGGACACAGAATCGTTACTCAGGGACACAGAATTGTTACTCAGGGACACAGAATTGTTACTGAGGGACACAGAATCGTTACTCAGGGACACAGAATCGTTACTCGGGGACACAGAATTGTTACTCAGGGACACAGAATTGTTACTCAGGGACACAGGGATTACAATTGTTACTCAGGGACACAGTGCATATTGAATTAAAGAGTATGTCAGACAACACGCAGAGGAGTGGCAGAGGAGGCAATGTTTCAGGAGCAAGCAGACGTGGCAGCAGAGGAAGGGGTCGAGGCAGCACTAGTCGCAGCCAGAGGCCAGTGCTCCCGGTGTCATCCAGCGGTCGTGTCTCCACCGACAACCCTGCCGTCATCGATTGGTTGGCTCGGTCGTCTTCCTCTTCCCAGGTCACCTCTGACACCTACAGCCAACGGTCGGTGGGTACGTCAGACACAACCGTTAGTTGGCATGGCCCGGGAGCAAGCCCACTGAAATCACGTGTCCTCGACCTGCCCCTGTCCTTTGGTGTTCCCTCACCAAGCGAAGTATCGCATGCTGTGGGCTCAGCCCCACTGTACAGTGAGGAAGAGCTAACAGAGGGCGGTCAGGAACGGGGGGAGACATCCGCCTCTTCAGCAGCCAGGCGAAGAAGTACTGGCGAGGGAGAGTGTGGCTCGGTAGCCGGTCTAGAGACAGGTCTGTCTCCTGACCCAGACACGCAGCCGAGGGGGCTAGTAGCGGCGCTAGAGACCATAATTGATGATGATGGGCTGATCGCACTTGGCAGCCTCGTCGTCATCAGGTATTGCTTCCGGAGTATCATCACCCTAATTGGCAGTGAGCAAAAACAGTCGGTGGGTTGCCCAGGATGAGCAGGGGCAGCATGGTGTCAGTGATCAACGGCACTTGGCAGCCTCGTCGTCATCAGGCTATTGCTTCCGCATCCCTCCCTTTCCAAGTGGTGACTCAGCACCTTTCCGAGAAATGATGGCTTGTGCCGAGCCGCAGTGGAGAGTGCCAAGCCGGCATTTCTTCGCCAAAAAGGCAGTGCCAGCCCTGCATTCACATGTAGAAGAGAGATGGTGGGCCAGTCTTTGAGCATGTCGGTCTATCTGCCAAAGTGCACGGCAGCGCCGACGTGTGGAGCTGTAACTACGGTCAGGGACAGTACATGTCATTTACGGCCCACTGGGTGAACGTGGTGCCGGCATAGCCGCACCAGAAACTTGGACAGGTCACGCCGCTTTTGCCTCCACGTTTGCACGTCCTTGGTCCAGCAAAGATGTCCGCCTCTACCACCTCTTCTTCCGCCGTGTCCTCAGCCGCCACCCCCCCGTGCCAAGTCCCATTACCCGACCGGCATATCACATGTGCAGGGCGCAACGGTGTCACGCTGTGCTGCACCTGGTATGCCTTGGCGAACGTAGTCACACAGGGGAGGAACTTCTGAGTGTAATGAACAGAGAAATCGACAGATGGCTGTCTCCGCGCAAACTGAAAATCGGAACCATGTTGACCGACAACGGAAAGAACATGGTGTCTGCTCTGCGTCAAGGAAGGTTGTGCCATGCGCCATGCATGGCTCACACGTGTTCAATCTGGTTGTCAAGCGGTTCCTAAAATCCACCATCCCACTGCAAGACATCCTTAAAATGTCACGTAAACTTTGCATGCATTTCAGCCTACACCGCAAAGCACACCCTCCTTGAGCTGCAGCGGCAGAATGGAATTCCACAGCATCGCCTGATCTGCGACGTTGCAACAAGGTGGAATTCAACCCTACATATGTTAGACCGCCTTTACGAACAGCGAAAGGCCATCACCGATTTCCTGATGTTACAAGCGGATAAAGGTACTCCCCTGTGTAACTTAGATGTCAGCCATTGGCAGCTCATGCGTGACACCTGCCGCTTGCTCAGGCCCTTTGAGGAGGCCACGCTATTCGTGAGTCGGCAGGACTATGGGATGAACGACGTCATTCCTCTGTTGCACGTCCTGGAACAAATGCTGTTAACAATGGCTGGTCAGGGTGCGGTAGACGTGGCGCACAGATCTCAACGCCACATGACCCCTGTGGGGGCAGGACAGGAAGAAGAGGAGGAGGTAGAGGAGGACATTGGTGCTCAGGAATTATTGAGTGAAATGGGTGGTTTTTCCACTCAGCGGACAGGAGTGGAGGAGCAGGAGCATCTGGTAGAGGAGGAGGAGGAGACAGAGGACCCAGACGCACCGTGGCAGTATGCTGTGGAGATGGAGGCAGGGAGTCCCTCGCATTCCTTGGCACAAATGGCCCATAGCATGCTCGGTTGCTTGCGTAGTGACAGCCGAATAATAACCATCAGACAGAGGGATGACTTTTGGCTGTCCACCTTGTTGGACCCTCGCTACCGTTCAAAAATGGTGGCCTTTTTCACACCTGCTGAGAGGGAGGCCAAAATAAAGTACTATAAAAACCACCTATGTAGTCAGTTGGTCTCTGCCTTTCTGCGCCAACGTCCATCCTCAGACACTGTGGGCCCTGTGCGCTCGCGTTCCGCTGCCATGGCAGCAGGGGAGGGGTGGGGTGGTAGGAGCAGTGGCAGCTCCACCAGCAGCGGCTGCCTCAGTCTGCAGTCGATGATGAGTAGCTTTCTTCACCAGCGCAGTGAGGAAACTACTAACCAGCCGCAGCAGCAGCAGCATCAGGTGGACCTGGAGCAGGACCTCAAACAACAGGCTTGGGCCTACTTGGACAGCACCCTGCCAACCGAGGTAGACAATCCCCTTGACTACTGGGCAACGAAACTTGACCTTTGGCCCCAACTAGCTGAATTTGCCCTTGAAAGGCTGTCATGCCCGGCCAGTAGCGTGGCATCGGAGCGCGTGTTTAGTGCGGCAGGAGGTATTGTAACTCCGCGGAGGACACGACTGTCCACCCAAAGTGTGGAGAGACTCACGTTTGTGAAAATGAATCAGGCGTGGATTAGTCTGGATTTCAAACCACCAGTTCCTGACACAACTGACTAAATCCGCCATGAATCATGCCCCAAACATGTTACTTTATTTTTAACATAGGCCTCTGTATGGCCTTCAATTTAAGCTGCTTACGCTTCGCCACTCTGCCATGGGCCCCTGTACCGCCTCCTCTTGCTGCTGCCAGGTCCAGAGTGTGTCATGGGTCCCTGTACGGCCTCCCATTGCTGCTGTCTCCATCGCCACACTCTGCCATGTGCCACTTTCAGGTCTCCTCACACTGCTGGTGGGTTCCATTTTGTCATAGGGTGCTGGCTGTATGGCCTCCCATTGCTGCTGCCAGGCCCGTAATCTGCCATGGGCCCCCGTACCGACTCCTCATGCTGCTGCCAGGCCCGTAATCTGTCATGGGCCCCTGTACCGCCTCCTCATGCTGCTGCCAGGTCCAGAGTGTGTCATGGGTCCCTGTACGGCCTCCCATTGCTGCTGTCTCCATCGCCACACTCTGCCATGTGCCACTTTCAGGTCTCCTCACACTGCTGGTGGGTTCCATTTTGTCATAGGGTGCTGTATACGGGCCTCCCATTGCTGCTGCCAGGCCCGTAATCTGCCATGGGCCCCCGTACCGACTCCTCATGCTGCTGCCAGGCCCGTAATCTGTCATGGGCCCCTGTACCGCCTCCTCATGCTGCTGCCAGGTCCAGAGTGTGTCATGGGTCCCTGTACGGCCTCCCATTGCTGCTGTCTCCATCGCCACACTCTGCCATGTGCCACTTTCAGGTCTCCTCACACTGCTGGTGGGTTCCATTTTGTCATAGGGTGCTGTATGGCCTCCCATTGCTGCTGCCAGGCCCGTAATCTGCCATGGGCCCCCGTACCGACTCCTCATGCTGCTGCCAGGCCCGTAATCTGTCATGGGCCCCTGTACCGCCTCCTCATGCTGCTGCCAGGTCCAGTGTGTCTCATGGGTCCCTGTACGGCCTCCCATTGCTGCTGTCTCCATCGCCACACTCTGCCATGTGCCACTTTCAGGTCTCCTCACACTGCTGGTGGGTTCCATTTTGTCATAGGGTGCTGTATGGCCTCCCATTGCTGCTGCCAGGCCCATAATCTGCCATGGGCCCCCGTACCGACTCCTCATGCTGCTGCCAGGCCCGTAATCTGTCATGGGCCCCTGTACCGCCTCCTCATGCTGCTGCCAGGTCCAGAGTGTCTCATGGGTCCCTGTACGGCCTCCCATTGCTGCTGTCTCCATCGCCACACTCTGCCATGTGCCACTTTCAGGTCTCCTCACATTGCTGGTGGGTTCCATTTTGTCATAGGGTGCTGTATGGCCTCCCATTGCTGCTGCCAGGCCCGTAATCTGCCATGGGCCCCCGTATACCGACTCCTCATGCTGCTGCCAGGCCCGTAATCTGTCATGGGCCCCTGTACCGCCTCCTCATGCTGCTGCCAGGTCCAGAGTGTCTCATGGGTCCCTGTACAGCCTCCCATTGCTGCTGTCTCCATCGCCACACTCTGCCATGTGCCACTTTCAGGTCTCCTCACACTGCTGGTGGGTTCCATTTTGTCATAGGGTGCTGTATGGCCTCCCATTGCTGCTGCCAGGCCCGTAATCTGCCATGGGCCCCCGTACCGACTCCTGCATGCTGCTGCCAGGCCCGTAATCTGTCATGGGCCCCCTGTACCGCCTCCTCATGCTGCTGCCAGGTCCAGAGTGTGTCATGGGTCCCTGTATGGCCTCCCATTGCTGCTGTCTCCATCGCCACACTCTGCCATGTGCCACTTTCAGGTCTCCTCACATTGCTGGTGGGTTCCATTTTGTCATAGGGTGCTGTATGGCCTCCCATTGCTGCTGCCAGGCCCGTAATCTGCCATGGGCCCCCGTACTGACTCCTCATGCTGCTGCCAGGCCCGTAATCTGTCATGGGCCCCTGTACCGCCTCCTCATGCTGCTGCCAGGTCCAGAGTGTCTCATGGGTCCCTGTACGGCCTCCCATTGCTGCTGTCTCCATCGCCACACTCTGCCATGTGCCACTTTCAGGTCTCCTCACACTGCTGGTGGGTTCCATTTTGTCATAGGGTGCTGTATGGCCTCCCATTGCTGCTGCCTCCACCACGCCACACTGTGGCTCCACACTCTGGTTTTGGCCCCGTGACTGCCCAAATGAGTGAAGTGTGCGGTGATTCTAAGATCGACGGCTCATCTGCATGTCATACTGACTGACAGTATTATTTCTCTTCCCCAGCAGACTCCAAGGGCATTTAAATTAAAGGTACAGTGTTCTGCACTAATATAAAGGCTCTCTGAAGCCTAGAAACACCCTTTTTATAAGTTAAATTCGCAGCGAATTTATTCGACTCGAATCGAATTTATTCCGCGAATTCGGCGAATTAGCCGAATCAAATTTTTGAATAATTCGCTCATCTCTAGTGTTAATGGGTTGGAGACTCAGCTCCTTGCACAGATCAAAAAGGCTGCTAGGGCTGGGACAGTGATAATAATGGGGGATTTTAACTACCCGGAAATTGACTGGCGCAATGGTACTGTAGGAACAGTTAAAGGGCAAACATTTTTAAACCTACTACAGGACAATTTTATGGTACAGTTCATAGAGGCCCCAACTAGGAATGATACTCTGCTGGACCTGGTAATCTCAAACCATGCAGAGCTTATTACAAATGTCCATATAAAAGAACATCTGGTTAGCAGTGACCATAACATGATTTCATTTATTGTTAGCTGTAAACAGCAAGCACAATATGGGAAAAATAAAAACACTCAATTTTAAGAGAGCTAATTTTCCAAGCCTGAGAGTTGCTCTCTAAGACCTAGACTGGGAGGGAATATTGGCATCGATGAACACAACACAGAAATGGAAGCTCTTCAAAAAGACTGTATGTGAAACACACTGTAAAATATATTCCCCTGGGCAACAAGTTTAAAAGGCTAAAAATCAAACATATGTGGCTTATGGCCAAAGTAAAAAGCTATAGATAATAAGAAAAGAGCTTTTATTAAATATAAAAATGAAGGAACGCTATCATCATTTAAACATTACAAAGAATATAACAGAATATGCAAAAAGAAAATAAAGGCTGCAAAAATTGAAAACGAACGACAGATTGCAAGAGATAGCAGGACAAACCCCCAAAAATTTCTTTGGTAAAAAGGTCCGAGCATGTAGGCCCTTTACAAAATAATCTAGAGTGGGTGACTGGGGACAAAGAGAAGGCAAATTTATTAAATACCTTCTTCAGCTCTGGGTATATAAAGGAGCATGGGGGAGCTCTTGTCCATAATGGGCATGGTATTGACACAGCTCCAGATGATCCACATTGGCTCACAATTGATATGATCAAGAAACAGAATAAAGGTGAATAAAACACCTGGACTGGATGGCATACACCCACGGGTTCTTAAAGAATTGAGCTCTGTTATTTCAAAGCCATTGTTTCTAATTTTTAGGGACTCTTTCATGACTGGCATAGTACCACTGGATTGGCGTAAGGCCAATGTGGTGCCAATATTTAAAAAGGGGTCAAAATCTTTACCAGGTAACTATAGACCTGTTAGTTTAACTTCTATAGTTGGGAAGATACTGGAAAATTTAGTAAAAGACCACATAGATGAGTTCTTGCTGGAAAAAATATTTTAAGCAACAGACAGCATGGATTCATGACAGACGTCGTACTCAGAGCGTAGTGGTTAATGATTCATACTCTGAATGGTCTAGAGTTGGTAGTGGTGTACCCCAAGGTTCAGTGTTGGGACCCTTAATTTTTAATATATTTATAGACGATATAGGGTCTGGGATTAAAAATCCCATTTCAGTCTTTGCAAATTACACAGATGCATGTTGATAAATGTAAAGTTATGCACTTGGGGGTTAAGAATATGCATGCATCATACATACTAGGGGGGGTACAACTGGGGGAATCAATGGTGGAGAAAGATCTGGGAGTTCAGGTAGATTACAAGCTTAATAATGTCATGCAATGCCAAGCTGTGGTTTCTAAAGCAAGCAAAATCCTCTCTTTTATTAAAAGAGATATAGAATCCTGAGAGAGATATATCATATTACCCCTGTACAAATCATTAGTAAGACCTCATCTGGAATATGCAGTTCATTTTTGGGCACCAATTCACTAAGAAAATTGGGGAACTGGAGAAAGTACAACCAAGCTGATAAGAGGCATGGAGGAGCTATGAGGAAAGATTAGAGGAACTGAATGTATTCTCTCTTGAGAAGAAGAGATTAAGGGGGGATGTGATCAACATGTATAAATAAATCAGTGGTTCATATAGTGAAATCGGTGTAGAGCTATTTACCTTGAGATCATCACAGAGGACAAGGGGGCACTCTTTACGTCTGGAGGAAAATAAATTGATTCTCCAAACACTGAAAGGTTTCTTCACAGTAAGAGCTGTGGAAATGCCAAATAGACTCCCTCAAGAGTTGATTCTGGCCAGCTCAGTGGATTGCTTTAAAAAGGCCTGGATTTTTTCTTGGATACACAGAATATAACTGGATACTAACATTTTTAGGTAAAGTTGATCCAGGGAATATCCGATTGCTCTCCTAGGATCAGAAAGGAATTTATTCCCCTGCAGGAGCAAATTGGATCATGCTTTGCTGGGTGTTTTTACTTTCCTCTGAATCAACTGTGGGTGTAGGATTAAAACTTTTTTTTCTTTTTTTAATGGTTGAACTAGATCGACTTTTGTCTTTTTTTAGCCATACTAACTATGTAATACTTTTTTTTTTTTTACAGTAGTTAAAGAGCAAACTCCATGTTGCAGTTTCTGATGTCATCTGGATTTCCTGTGAGCTCTGTTGGCAAGCTTTAAAAAGGGTAGCTTTCTTCCTCCTTTCCATACAGAAACAAATAACTGTGACTTATTTCTTATTGATTGCTATTAGCATATAGGTCACCATTATAATTGATATGTTTCTGTGGAGGTGCAGTGGGGGGAAAAAAAACTTAAAATATAATTTTTCATCATCTCATCAATAATCATCAGGTCCCAAGAAATATATTAGATGCTCTTGATGACCGTGTTTGTGTTAGCGCCACACACAAGTGTGTGCAATGTTGTTTACATATGTTATTATAATATTATAATTATAATGTTGTACTGTTGCCATCCTACTTATTCCTAGCTGCATACAACCAACTATCTTAGCTTAAATTTAAATAAACGATTTACTAAAAGTGATTTTTTTTTAAACACTTTTCTTCTAGCAGGAGAAAAGTAGTTTAAACACATGCCTAAACTGCATTTTTAAAATTACATTTAGGCTCATTTATGAATGTTTAGGCGTCTCAAGTGCATGGGCATTTACTTATTTCATTGGCCAGAATAATTTATTTTGGCCATTGAAATAAAAAAAGCTAAAGCACTAAATGCATGTTTAGATGTGTTCACACATTTAGGAACGTTTATGTGTGTTTTAGCTCTTTTTGCCAAAATGCTTCTCTCTTCAAAGCGCAAGTGATATTTTTTCTTCTGCCTCTAAACGCCCCTGTCTCTAAACTCCTGTAGACACCTATGTGTGCTTGGCCACATGGGCTAACACGGAAGGGAGTGTAGAGGCAGAAAAAACAGTCAAATGCCTGTTTTACAGCCATTTGTGAGCTCAAGTGTGCATAAGGCCTAACACAATAATCCCATATCAGTCAACAGTAAATGTGTCAAGAAATTTTTAGCAGAGCAACATACTAGTCAGGTTAAAGGGTGGTCACCTGGGGGACACAAACCAGAGAGGAAAAAATCCAGCAAATTCCAAGATGTTGATTGATAGTCACTTTATATCTGGGTGGACTTGCCCCTTTAGTTTTTGTATTTATTTTTTAACCTGCTCTTTAGCTTTTTGATAGAAAAAGTGTACGTACATACAGATCTAACTGAATGTTACCACACCAGGTGTAAATGTTATACAATTTTGATTGCTAGCATAGGTAACTTTAGGGTTTCCATGTATCTATTTTACTGAATCAGTATAAACACATTTAGCTTACCTCTTCTTGTGCTGTCACTTAAGATCTTTTGCCATTCACAACAAAATAGATGAACATTCACAATCATTTAATGATATGGAAATAGTTTATTTAAGACAATTTTGAAGAGCAGAGATAACTTTATATACAATACGTGGTAATATAGGTCACTAAGCAAGCTTAATAGAGTAATACAATGGCAATACAGGGAATTCTCAAGAGCCTGCATCTACAACAATAATGGATTTTTTTTTTGTGCATGTTTGCTGTTGGCATCTGGACAGGAATTGTAACAGTTACTTCAGCAATGGTGCCCATGGTTAGAGTGATGCTTCATTTTAGTAGTATGGCTTACAGAGCTAAATCCTCCCGTGTGGTGATGATGTTGATGATGTACACCGTGGTGACCTCCTGAGTGAGGTTTTCCTCCAGTGCTGGAGTGCACAACAGCTGCAGGGAAATATCAGCTTATAAATTGATATGCATTGATATTGATAAATTGACAGTATGAGTCATAAATGGCAATTACTATACATGGTGACCTTCATATATTGGAGATTAGATCTCCAAACTCAGACTTTCAGTGAGCAGAGTTCTGATACTGCATGAAAAGTTTGTTGCACATTGTTTCAGGTATGACAGTGCTCCTCTACATAGGCTAGTGTCTGCCCCATTCTTTAGCATGGATTTAAATCACTTACTGGTAACTAATGTGTCTTTGAGACCCTAATGTTCAGACTTTCCAGTAGCAGTTTGTGTCTCTCACATAGGACTATAAAGATTAGAGGTGCCATAAATATGGAAACTTCCAGCTCAGGTCAGTTTTGGACTTCAAAGACAACCAAACAGTTCACCCTTGAAACCACCAAAACTGGCCATAGTAGGTTGCCTTGCTTTATCCAATCCAGTTGAAAGTATTTGGAATTGCCTGGGAATTACCATTTTGATGGCCAGCATTAGGATGTTAAAAAAAAAAACAGCTGAAAACATTCCAAGATCTCTGTAAATGTTGTGCACATTGCTGTTCAGGTTATCATTTACAGACTAAAGCCTTAATGAATAGGGCCTTATTAAAGGGAATGTTGCACGCTGTAGCCCTCAAGAGGTATAAAAAGGTAACATATGATTAAACCTCAAGACATATAAAAAAAAAAGTCTCCCCAGTCTAATGTTCTGCCTAAACTGCATAAGATTCCTTTTACACAGATGTTGCCATTGGATCCTCCTGCCCGTTTTTCAGGCAGACCCGATTGGAACCTCCATTTTCCTCTATGAACCAGTGGGAGTAAATGGACAT